AAGAGCCCTTCCTTTAAAACTACAGAGTCTCCTCCTCCTTTTCAGCAGCCGGCTTTTTCCTCTTACCATCCAGTACGTTCTTAGACGTGATCATCCCAACGAATGAGTCCCCTGTACCTAACCCTTCTCCCAGAGGACTTGAATGTCCTCAAAGCAGAAAGCTTGCTCCTCCTATGACACAAATTAGCTTCATAAAGTCCCCGACAGCTGTTCTGACTCTCACCCAATGCGAGAAGAAAAAGCTCTCTGGGCCACAGCCGAACACATTTGTGACGCGTCCCGAGTGGAGTAGCTATAAGTTCTGAGTCGAACTTTGACACGCAAGTGACTTATTAACTGGATACCGGCTGCAGGAATCAGACCGGAACTCTCTGACCTGGGCGGCGTGGCAGATTTGTCAGACAAAAAAATCAATGAATTTTTGTCTCTGCTCTGCCATTTGTTGGGTCCAGAGATGAGCATCTTGTTGGCTGGCCCATAATCCCAGGCGCCCTGATGCCAGCTGCCAAGGAGTAGCTGGTAAGGAGCCGGGGTAGAATGAAGGAATGACAAAGTCCATCTGCAGGGCAGATAAGAGAGTGATGCTGGCAGACCAGAAGGAGCGTCAAAAGTTGCTCTCCTGTACTGAGAGCCAAGAGGGAGGAGAATTGCTGTTGGTTAATAGCTTGCTGAGGAGCTGAGGGCCTAGGCCGTGATATTTTTAGTTGATGTTGGCTGGGAGATGTGACCAGCTGCCCCCGGAGGGCTACGATTACAGCTCAAAGATAGCAACTTGGAGGAAAAATGTGCCTCTGGGTTTGCTCATAGTGTGAAGAGGCCGGATGTAGTGTCCGATGTTTGTCCCTCCTGCGAGAAATGGCCGGCTGCTGACAGGACTGGGCTAAGGGGAAGATGGGTTAACCAGTAAGGCTGTGTCCAGACTCAGGGGTTTTTTCGAAAAAACTTCACCTGCGTCTAGACTGCAGCCACGTTCTTTCGAAATTAAATCGAAAGAACGCGGCTTTTCTTTCGACGGCGGTAAACCTCATTTCACGAGGAAGAACGCCTTCTTTCGAAAGTGCTCTTTCGAAAAAAGGCGTTCTTGAATGCCAACAGGGCTTTTTAGAAAGAGAGCATCCAGACTCACTTGCTGCTTTCTTTTGAAAAAGCGGCTTGCTTTTTCGAAAGTACTGCTTGCAGTCTAGATGCTCTTTTTCGAAAGAGGCTTGCAGTCTAGACATAGCCTAAGAGGCTCACGGGACAACGTGTGGAGACACAGCTGGCGGCTTGCAGCTGGGGGGATGGCGGCGGGGACTCGAGGCGTTGTATAACCTGCTGAGCACTTCAAACCCATCTCTAGGAGCAGCCTGATCTAAAGCCCTTTGGAGCCAGGCGATGGCGGGGAGAGATGTTAATTAAGTCAAAGTCAATGGCCTTTTCTGATATTTGACTCAGGTCTTTACGCAAGGGATCATGAATTCCAGTGCTAATTCCGTGTGCCACCCATTCAAGAGCAGGGAGCTCAAAAACCACAGACACACCAAATGGCAAACCCCCACCACCACCAGCACCAACACCTCGTCTCCAACGTTCATCGATACCACAGCGCTACTGGAGCTACACTGCCACGCGTCTTCCCCCGGCTGCAGCTGCCTCCAGGGAAAGTCCCAAGGATTCATCAAGGACCAGAATATGGGCCATGTGGCTCAAAGGCCCTTCCTCCAGCCCACCCACCCCCTGCCTTTTCCACAGCTCTGGGGTCCACATGAAGGAAAAGCTCTGTTCAGATTTGGGGGGAGGTGGGGCTGTGAACAGCGCTGCAAAGCAATCAGAGTCCCCCTCCTTCACATGGAGAGCCCTCTCCCTACACTCTCCACTTTGGGGTGACCTTGGCCTTTATTTTTTAATCTTGGGGCCAGACTTCACACTCTTGCTCAGGAGGTAAGCCTGCAGCAGCTGCACTGCCGTTAATGGCTTTATTCTGGATTCGCAAGGGTGCCAGCAGGAGTAGAATCCTCCCCCACGTTTGATTTTAAGTTCTTTGCACAACAGAGAGGTGATGACTGGAGAGATCAGTTGGCTGGTCCATGACCATGTGAGCATGGCCACCCTAGACTGGCAAACTTGTGGAGTGATCTTTGATTTGCCCTCTCTAGGGGCAGCAGGTCTGTAGCAGTGTCCTAGGGCAGCAAGCACAGTGTCAGACCCTAGAGAGAGCACACAGGCAGCTCACGAGGATTGTTCTTCAGCCCGTCTTTCGAGCGTGGGGCGGTTACCCGGTTTCTGTCCCTATTGGCGCTCGTGGGTGGCTTAGCAGGCAAAGATGATAGGTGACCCCCCAGGTGATACGTGCGGTTACCCGGTTTCTGTCCCTATTGGCGCTTGTGAGTGGCTTAGCAGGCAAAGATGATGTGTGACCACACAGGTGATACGAGAGGAAGCTCGCTTAATTTGCATACTGTAATTTTATTGGCCAACGCGTCGTCAACACGTGTTGAGTTTTGTATTCCGTTTAAAGTAACGGCACTGGAAACCGCTCTCCGCCGGGACGCTGGCCTTGGGTTGGCTGGTTCTTTTGGTTTTGTTTTGATCACGCTTCAGGAACCCATTCCCTTGGCTGTGCCCGGATTTACAGCCCAGGGGTCAAATAGGACTTTTGAGTTTGGTCCTTCCTCGCCACCAACCCACGCTTTGTGTCGCCTTTTCCCATCCGTGGCACAAATAATTGCCAATGCCTAGCAGGGGCTGGTGTCGACTGCTGTAACTATGGGCGCTGCAGGAGTAGCAGATCTGGAGGGTCATGGAGTCTGTCTCAATGTTTCCCCTTTGCGGATGCGGCTGAGACGTGACCAGGTGACTCACCCCATCGTGAGTCTCTGGTGACATCCTCTGAGCCATTTATATCACAGCAACGTCCGTGCGTCCAGCGGTTCTGCTTTCCCGTTTCCCCTGCATGACTCAGGACCGCTCTCCCTCCACACTTCCTCTCCAGAGCAAATCTCTCAGCAGCAATCCTGGTGCTCTCCAGAGTTCGTCCCACAGCCTGTTCCCCTTGCTCTCTTCTGCAGCGGGATGTCCCAGGCTCCCGCAGTCGGAAGGAAAACCCAGCCTGTGATGGCTACAGTGGGGTACCCTGTGCTAGTAGATATGGGTGGGGCATTTGGGCGTGCCCAGTCAGGGTGCACGGGGAGAAGGTACTTGTCTGGACAGGAGGAAGTGGGGTGTCCTATCCTAGTAGATACGGGTGGGACATTTGGGGGTGCGGGAGTGGTATATTGAGGCTGCATCATGAGCCGTGCTAGGTAGGAAATGGGGTGTCCTCCCAGATGGTCCAAGTCTGGGTGTACCTCTGGGGTGTCTGATCCTTGCTGAAACGGGGGGGATGAGACGTCCCATCCACTCAGGTGCAGATGTGAGGTGCCCCCTATGCAACCGTGGGGTGTAGCGAACGCCCATGGTCTCTTCCTTTCACTCCTGGCCCTTTCCCTCCCCTGCTCTCCCGTCATTTCTCTGTGGCCTCTTGCTCACTTCCTTCTGGTCACACTTGACTGGCAGGACAGGCTGTGTGTCCGTAACAGGGAGCAGCGTGAAGCCTGCTGTCCAGGCCATCAGTAACGCTCCCTGGAGAAGGAAGGGTGGGAGGGGAGAAGGGAAAGCTGTAATCTCTTGCCACCTCACTGACATTTTCTTTACAGGCCTGGAAGGAGAAGCAGCTGTAGGCAGTTAGCCCCAGGGAGCCATGCCTTGTCTTTAACCCTCTCCTTCCCTTCACTGCTGCTTCTCCAGGTCCAAGCACACAGCAGCGGGGGGAGCCCAGGGCAGGATAGAAACCCCCCCCCCCCCGGAAGGAGATGGATCCACCTCTCCTGTCGCTGTTTCAGGGCAGAAGCACAGTATGCTGGGCCCAACCCAAACAGGAAAGCGGGGGGCACTCACCGGACACACACCCCCTCATGGTGGGGATAGCTGAGGATCACTGGTTTATAGGGCTACGTCTACACCAGCAGTTCCCAACCTTCTCCAAATGGGGACCCATTTTGACAATTCAGGAAGACTTGGTGACCCAAGGCAATTCAAAAACGGGGGGAGGAAGATGGGGGGGGCAGAGCTACCGGGGGAGACACTTGGCGACCCATATTTGGGTCCCGACCCATAGGTTGAGAAACCCTGGTCTACACTGCAGAGCTACTTCGGGATACCAGCGGTAACCCGAAATAGCGATCCCGTGTCTTTTTGAAACAGAACGGGCTCGCTATTCTGACGTCCCTGCAAACCTCGTTCCACGAGGGTTAAGGGACGTTTCGGAACAGCAGGGTTTGTGGAAACGTGGCGCTGTGTAGACAGTGCCAAATGATGAAATCAGCTGTTTTGAAATTGACTCGAAATAAGCTATGCAATTTGCGTTGTTTAGTTCAAGCTGCGGGTGCACGGTAGACGCCCCCTAGGAGAAACCAGCAATCCTAAAGCATTGGTGTCACTCCTTGGTACGGCAAACACATAGCATGAGGCAGATGTTTGTGTAGCACACTTGCCTGGGGCTCTGTTTGTCTCCAGCGCTGGCTTGGCCATCGTGGTTGATAAATCTGCCGCAGCCGTGGTCGAACATTAAGCCAGTTCTATTCCCTGCTTTGCTGGGTGGGTTGTCCGCAGCGGACATTGAACCTGCGACTCTGAAGCTAGAGGCATGAGCTTCTATTACCAAAGAGCCACATCGGTTAGCCAGGGTTGCCCATCGACCTCTATCTGTGGCCCACCCACTGCTCAGTGGGCACAGCCTTCCCCTGACTGAGTTGCACATGGTTGAGCGGCTCAGGGCGGGATGCCTGCGTCTGCCTGCTCTTCCTTCACCCACACGAGGGATGTTTGCAATGGAACGTGGAAAGGGAATGGGGGTGGCGGTGCACGACTCATCCCCGCTGAGGCGGGGGCCCCCGTCCGGCGCCTTCTGACCTCCCCCCGCCAGCCCCCGAGGAAGTCGGGCCGGGGGGTGCTGGTGAACATTTTGGAATTTGTTTTTTCAGGAGGTGAAGATTTTCCGTGCGCTGATTCTGGGGGAGCTGGAGAGGGGCCAAAGCCAGTTCCAGGCGCTCTGCTTTGTCACGCGGCTTCACCGCAACGAGATCATTCCCAGCGAGTCCATGGCGAAGCTGCGGCAGGTGAGAGGCAGCCCCACCGGATGGCCCGGGGCCTCCCTGGCATGTGATCCCTGGTCTCCTGGGGCTACGTGCTCTCCTGTAGGGACGAATGCCAGTCGGGGTCCCTCGCCTTTTCAGGGACCGGTCCCAATTGAGTGGCCTCCAATCGCTGGCCCAGCCACCACTTCCCAGTGTGTGCCCCAACCAGCAATGGCTGCCTTTAACCATAGGCCAGCACAGCCACTATTGCAGCACTGGAGTGGCTAAGACCTCCTCTCTGGAGACTCCTTCAAGCACCATGCAGGCCTAGCTCTGGCGTTGTTTGGAGGGAATCCCAGCCCAGATCCAGGGCCGGCCCACATCATTTGGCATCTGAGGCGGGGAGCTCAAAGGATGCCCCCATGTCCCTCGCTTGGGCCAAAACTTGGAAAGGTCTCAGTTCTGTTCTGCTCCTCTCGTGGGCCTGCTTTGCCACCGACCCCAATAAAGGAGAACTAACAGCAGCAGACACAGTTTTCTACACTCTGGGTCCTAGTGGCGCCCCCCCCCCCACCCCCCACAGTCTGGCCACCTCAGTTTGCCTCATGGTAAGGCCAGCCCTGCACCAAGCAGTCTAGCTGCACACGTATTTCTGAAGTTACATAAGCACGGCCAGACTGGGTCAGACCCATGGTCCCTCCAGCCCAGCATCCTGTCTGCCCACAGTGGCCGGTGCCAGATGCCCCAGAGGGAGGGACCACAGCCGTGAGTTTGCATGTAAGTTGGCAAAAAATAGGGATGTTCCAAAAGAGCTAATTCGGGGGAGGGGAGGCGGACCATAGTTGTGACCCACAATGCAGCAGAAATGAGCTTTGCCGCCGCTGTCTCCTCGCCAGAAAAACCCCAAGACAGTGCGTCAGGCGGAAGAGGTGCGGGGGCTGGAACATCTCAGCATGGACGTCGCTGTCAACTTCAGCAAAGGGGCCCAGCTGAGCCCTCACATTCACAACATCTGCTCGGAGGCCAAAGAGGCTATCTACACCCGAGAAGAAGATGTGAAATTTTGGCTGGAGAAAGGTACGCGTCTCCTTAGCGCAGGTCCTGCTAGCACTTACACTGCGACCAACTTTGCAAGC